ATACCCCAAGATACTCAATAAACACTTCTATATCTCCAAACATGGCTCCAAAGGTTAAAAATGACCACTATTAGCCTCCAACCCAAGCATCATTTTTCATTTTTTAAAAAAAAAATATTTTAAAAAATAATAACAACAATATAACAATAAAATGCATTGTTTTATAATACAAAAAAAAAAGAGTAATTTTAGCTACATGTATCATAACAATTTGGTCTTCTATATTGCTAATTACTGTATCATGATCATTGTGGCAATTCATTTTTTCTTCTTTGAATTGTTTTTTAATATATATATAATATATATAATAATATGATATAATATATATATAATTATAATATTATATATATATTAAATTCTAACTTTATAGAATTAAAATCGTCTTAAAGATATAATCTCTTTGATGTTAATCCAAAACACAAATTTGTTGAAAAATAATGTCAAAATAGAACAAACGATATTAAAAAAATTTTCTAAAACTTCATTTTTTTTATCACTAGATTAAAACACAAAAGTCTATTGTTTTTTTCCAAAAATTTTATATATTAATCCACTTAATTAGTTCTTCAAAAAAATACATAATTAGTATGTTAAATTAATTCACCTAATTAGTATGGTTAAATAATTCATTAAAGAAATAAATAATTATAAAGAGTCCAAATCTTGGTGGTGACAATGTTTTGATAGCAAAATAGTAATAAATAAACAAATAAAAACTTGAACTATAGGACTACAAAAAAGGTCAACAACAATGGAGAAAAAAAAAAAAAATTTCCATGGTGGGTTTTTTCGGGCTCAAAAGTGACAAAAACAAAACATATAACTACCAATAAGTTGTATACAAAAAAATAGTTTTAAAATATTTTATTTGATAATTTGTAATTATTGAAAATAAGAAAGAATATTTCTTAAATTTAGGACGTTTATGTACTTCAATAATTTAAAGATAAAAAATATTCAAATACATGGAGAATATTTCTTTTTCAGTTTATCATTTTAATTTTTTTTTTTTAAATAATACATTGAGAACTATTTAAAAAGAAACCTAATAAATCATAAAAAAAATGTCAAAAAACATTTTTCTGTTCTTTCCTTATTTCTAATTGAAGAAGTAAGTTCCTTTTTTATTATATCCAAAACATTTTTTATTTGCTATATATAGCATGTATGCCTTGACTTGTAATTTCTGTTCATAAATTTGAAGCTTGCAGTTTGTCTACAAAATATAATTCCAAAATTAGAGAACTTTTTGGGTCTTTAATCTCTTGTGTTTTCCCACTCAATTCTCATGTTACATCGTGAGTCAAAATTTGTGGGATGGTGACCCATTCTAATTGGATAGAGTTTGATGGAAATTAATTTTTTTTTTGATTGATTCTGATTCAGCTTTATGATTCTCGTTTAATTTGGGTTTTTGACTTTTGATTTAGTGTAGAATAAGCTAACAATCTACCAAATGGTTAAAATTAATCTTAATCAATCGAAAACAAAATCATTCGGTTTGCCATTTAAATGGGAAACATGTTATTCAATTTTTGTTAAATTTTGAAGAAGGAATTTCTATAAAACCTATTTCCTTACATTTTCATTGTATATAATAATACATAAACAATAACAATAATAATTAATAATAAATCGCAAAAAAAAAAACAAAACCGAAAAAAAAATGCAAAAACGTACCTGGACCAAAGTGCGTGAACACCGATGAGAAGTGACTGGGGATGCAATGAGAGCGGAGATGGCGGGCGTTAGCGCCTGGAGCGACGTGGGCAAATACCCTGCGACGCGCTGTGAACGGAGAGAGAGAGGAGGAGGGAGAAGAAAGAAA